GTGAATAATTAGTGCACTCACTTAAGAATACAGCAACTGTTTTACCTTTTTCTTAAGAACTGACAAAACTTAGTATACATAATAAATAAAACCAAATCTAAGCAGATCAAATGTCAAGATTTTTGTTAGTGTAACGTATGGTACGTACTTGAGAAGTGGACATTTCTATAAATGTTGATATTCTTACAGCACAGTGTTTGACATTTTTTGGTACAAAGTGTGCTATTAAGCTTCTAAAAAAATCTTCATAACAAAATCCTTACGCTCTCCATTAGATTACTGCATGTTATAATTATTTTAGAACAAGCCTAACTGGACAGTAATAATTACAGTATTAAATATTCAAGTCACTTTGTATATTAGAGCTGCAAGTTTCATTGGTGAGCCTGTTCATGACGAATATGAGGATATATAGTTCTAATATTATGCACTGCAGCAAAACAGTCACTATTTTGGAGGGAACAAGTACATGTCATCCCTATTATGAAAAATGTTTACGGGACCTTAATTTAGAATAAATAGTGAATAGAACTTTTTATTCAAGTCAAATCTCCATATCTATATTGTTTGATAAGGTACCCTCTGTACTTGTATAAATTGCTTTAATTGTATATGCAACTTAGTATAAAGATTTAGTTCAAAGTGTGCATGTACAGAGGCTTGTATTTTTATAAACTGACTGGTTGTTTCTTTTCATTTTTGTAATTTTAATTATTTATTTTTTTGCTAACAGCTTACTTGATACCAAGTATATACTCTGCCCTCCAAAAGTTTTACTAGAAGTAATTCGAGAAATCTGAATGAAATGAGGAAAGAGACTCTTACCTTTCATTTTTCATACAAGTTTTCTAGACAAACTAAAATCTTTAACCAAATTTGTTTATAAATTAGGCAATATCTCCTTCATTTACCTGTTAAATGCAAGTCTTGCCAAACAACAAGTATAGCATATTATCACCATCATAATAAATGCAATGTAATAACTCAGGAAACATTTAGAGTGTGCAGTATGGCAGACTTTCCTCCCAATTGTAAACAAAGCTATCAAACACTGAAAATGTTGATATTAAAGCTAAAGGTTCATATGATAAAGAACTGGCCCATGACAACAGTTTACACATATTTCATCCTTTTCACATTATGCAGAATTTCAATACCATCCACAATGCTAGTACAGTAACTGAAATGCTAGGAAAAAATCCAAGTCTATGCTTGCAAATACATCTGACAAATCAGGGAAAAATACTTCTCCTGTTATGTGTATGTAACTTCCCTTGGTGTGAAAGGAAGTTGTGCATACACATTTAGGTGAGAACAGACCCTCTTCCATGGTTTCATCATTCACACATTCCTTCCTCAAAAATGTAAAGCTACTCAGCAACTCAAAACATGAAAGCTTGTAATATTCAACCTTCAATTAAGTCTTCAGACATGGTTTTCTTGTTCATTATAACAAAACTAAATCCCATGTGGCTGTGGGCATCTTCAAAACGCATGTAAAAAGTTAAGCCACAGTTACCTGTACCTCATTAATTCATCAAAAGCAAAATATATATGTACCACACAACATTACAAAAGTTACACATTAAAAGTGCATATATTTAGAATCCATTTGGCCCATTTCTTAATTTTACATTTGGTCATTCTATGTATCTTTTACTTTTCTATGTAACCATACATGTAGGATATAAATAATTTTTTTTTTTTCAAATGCAATACTATTCTCTCTTCCCATCAAAATCTTTACTTCTCGTTTCATTTTCCATTAAATGTAAACCAGTGATGGACCATAAAGAAACACAAGCAAAAAGTTTATTGTGTGTTTCTCTGTCACGTTTGTACAGCTTTGACACTGAGACAGTAAGCATTATAAACGGTAATGAAAATACATTTTTGGGCCAAACCATTGCATATTTGCCCCCACAATGAAAAATAAATTATGTTCAAAGCAGTATATTGCCATAAATAGCCTGTAGGCATCCTCTGAAGGTAAACGGACTCTCCTTATCTATACTTGACTGGAGTATATTATGTAAGTCCAGTTCAAGTGGTTTTAATGAGAAGTTAGTTGAAAACCTTCCAGTCAGCACAGGACCAAACTATAATCTTCATTTTTTTAAAAATAATGGAAGATCCCTTTCAAAAATTAATCTTCAGTTATCAAGTTTACTGCATTATGGAGCTAGTGCAATCCTGCATAGCCTAGTCAAAAAGACAAGGCACATAAAAAAAAAGAAAAAAAATAAGAAAAACAACTAAGATACATTAGACTATATGGACTAGAGAGTCACTGACTATAATTTAAGGCCTTTCAGTGAATTAGAGAGTAATCAGTCTAATTTAAAGCTGAGGATTAAACCATAAATTATCCATCTGAAAAGCAAACAATAGGCTTTTTCAGCTTCTGTTCTGTGGACAAGGATAACACAAATTCTTGTTATGGTTTGTGAAAACACCTCTGGACCTGGAGGAGTAGAGTCAATTCAAATTTCTCTAAAGTTCGTGGAAGATTTCATGACTGTTTTAGCCGTTTGCGTGGAATACCAAACTGTGGACACTGTGCAGATGCTAGTGCTCGAAAGGCCTCTGCTACTAAGTGAGGGTGGGAGTGGATCATGGACTTCCAGCCTGCCGTTTCCATTATGTCTGTTGCTTGGCTGAAAATAAAAGGATTAAGAACAATTGTTTAAATGTATATGTATGTATAAAGATAAATCAGAAAAATACTAGGAACATGGACTACTGTAACCAAATGTTATTTGTATTTTATGTAGAATCAATATATTATTTATTTTATCAAAATACTCATTTTTCCAATATTAACAGGAAATGATTACTTTTACTATTATTCCACAACTGGAGCTTGCTCCCGAGTGAAGTTATAAGTACAGCACACTCAACCAAAGCAGCATATACTGTGTAGCAATTCAAACAAACTTTATACACTACTGGTCATTCCTCGCTATTGAGTTCTACGACACTGTGGCTGTGTGGGCTCTGCCCTAGGGACCACGTGGAAATATAAAACAGGGAGGGCATTTTTAAGTAGGACCTTGCTGAGTTATGTCCTAAATCCAGTTCTTCTCAACGTTTTCATTAAAGACTCACATAGTAGAATAAAGTATATTCTTATAATCTGGCTGGGGGACTCTAAGCTGGGGAAGCTTACAAGCCTTTTGGAGGATGGGACTAGAGTTGAAAAGGATACAGGAACACTGGGGGAACTGTTTGTCAAGATTAAATTTAAAGAAAGAAGAGTACATTGTGATACACCCAGAAAGGAGAAAGTAAATGCAGAGGTACAAACTGGAAATGACACTAGTAATGCAGAAGGAGGTTAGGGGGTTATCCTGGACCACAAACTAAACACAAGTCAGCAGTGCCATGCTGTTGCAAAAATGGCAGGTTTCATACTGGGCTGTATTAACAGAGCTATCATATGTAAGAAATGGGAGATAAGTATACCACTTCACTCAGTACTGATGAGGCCTCAACTGGAATACTGTATCTAGTTTTAACCACTACACTGTTCAAAGGATATTAATAAATTGGAGAGACCAACAAAAGCAATAAGGATAAGAATTTTAGAAAATGTGACTGATGAGGAAAAAACGTTAAAGGAATAAGGCGTGTTTAATCTAAAGACAGAATACCAAGGAAGAATGTTCCAACAGTGTTTCAATACAGAAAAGGTTGTTATATGAAAACAGTGATCAAGTTCTTCCCCCAGTAGCATTGAGAATGACAGAAAGACATCTTAGTTTACCAAAAAAAATTAGGTTTGATATCAGAAAAGAACTTTAACTATAGGGATAATATAAAGCATGGAATAGGAACAAGTGTGGGAACAGGTTGATCAATAGTTTTCAGTAATGCCATATCATCCTTTTCTCTGTTCTAATTTGCTCCTGCAGTTCTGTTGCATCCTCCAAGAGAGCAGAGAGAAATCTGGCTGATCTAATTTCTCTGGGGAGAAAAGTATCACTTTAGAAATGCTGGTACAAGCCCGACCCAGAGCACCCAATTGAGGCTAAGTAGAAGGAAAGTTTAATGTTGGCTGCTGATGTTTTCTTACCATGGAGGACAGAATAAGTCCATCTCTCTCATCTCAAATGAGGGAAAAAAAGGCAAAGTATAAATGGCGCTGTGGGGTATTATCTGCCAGATTACACGGCTGCTTCTGAAGCAGTCTTACTTTACTTGCAAAAAGCAAATGATTGCAATTCTGTAAGAATGAAGAATGGATCAAGAATTCCAAAGGTCTCCCTTCACTTCTGAAATAAAGTATGGTAGGTTTGTTTTTATTCCCATTCCAATCACAGTAGATTGCGACCCATAATATAAGTGGATACTATGGAAGGTACTATTACTGGAGGGGTGGGGAATGGGGAACTTTGATTCTGCAAATCTTTACTTACTTGCTATTCCAGTTTTTCCCATCTTTACACCCAAGTTGTCTAAGAACACTGCACCTATAATAGAAGTAGTGATACAAATATATTTAAGCTGGCATGGAAGTTGTTGCATAGATGCCAACTATGTCTTAAATGAAATATTACTTGCCTGTTAATAAAATCTATTGCTTGTGCTTTCAACTGTTCTGCGCTGTGCAAATCTGCGAGGATAAGAATGTCAGCAACGTTTTCTACTGAGAGGTTACTACAGAGTGCCTCTTCGCACATGACCTTCAGCCGTTCCAGTGCATACTGGTGGGAAAAAAGCCACATACACGCTCACTAATCATTCTTCAAACTTATTCTTTCTACTGTCATCTACACAATTTAAAACAAATTACTCACATCCTTTGAAATGCCTAGCACCCCAATCCCAGGATCACTGCTTGCAAATAGATCATTCAAAATGTAATGCATGCTGCATATAAAACCTTCCCCTTCCCTCCATGCCTCCAATGATAAGATGCATTAGACGGATTAAATACAAATCAAATCACAACTGCTTGCGTGTTCAACAGTTGCACCTCAGAAGATAATTTTTTTTAACAAAACTGAAAAATAACTCATTCTGGGTATCATGTTCCCTAGCCAAATTTCATTACAAAAAAAATCTGAAAAGGTGGCATATATATTAGGATCGCAGGAATTAAAACCCTACATCAGACCATAGGCTGTTAGTCAAGCAACAGGTCTGGCTGTGGCCTGATGTTTCAAAGGAAGGTGTAAGAAACTGAACAAGGAGCAATTGCACGGAGCCAGAGTTGGGGCTACAGTTCTTCCCAACTTTTTAGTGTTTCGTTTACTCCCCATCTAACATAACAAATGGATTACATTTGTTATTGCTCAATATGAGAAACAGCCAATTTACTTTAATAAAAACTTTAAATTAGTCCTTAGCCTCCTGTCTAAGCATCCAATTGTTATCCATGAGAGCAGGGCGTTACAAGTTGATCCTAACAGAAAGTGCGCCAAGCTTGAATCACTAACATATAAAGCTTTCTAGGTCTCTAATCAGTTTTGGTTTGATGTCTTTTGAACAATTATTTTTTCTACACTTCTGATAAAAGATGAACTGCAACCTATTGCTATTTACAAGATTATATTTTCAGGACTCTCCTTGCTTCCTGTATTCTCCAAAATAGCATTTTGGGTACTTTTTGACTACCGATGCACCCCGACCAGGTTTTTCTTCAGCTGCTTCTAACACTACCAAGACTTTTTTCCTGTCTAGTCACTTAATTTAGAATGCTTCAATTACACAATTCCAAAGTCTCTAAGACAAGTTAAGAAACAGTCAATGCACAGCTACTGAAGCCATATTACTATTTCTATTCCACTGAAGTAGATAGTAAAGTACAGTAGTTGGCACTGTATCATTAGAGAATGTGCAAAGAATTGATAATGGGAACAACACACCTTACTTTAAGGCTGCTGCTTTTAGGTAAGTCGAGATGGATATGAACAATGAGCAAATCAATGCAGATTCTGCAAAGGATAATTCTGCTACTCAAAACTACCAGAGTTCTTTAAACAAAGTCAACTAGACAAGCAGTTGAAAGTCTGACAGCAAGGCTACATAATTGGGCAACATGATAGAAAAAAATTAAGCATAGAAAAATTTAAGAGAATGCACATTAAAAAGGACATAGTGAACAATGCACAAAAGGCTGGGTTCTAAATTAGCTCCCCAAGAGAAAATGACTGAGGCTTCAATGGCACAGGTAACGAAAGTACTCCTTCCTATTAAACATCGAGTCAAACAAGATGCTAGATGTATATAACTAAAATACTATAGAATAGCATGTTATGATATGAAAGAGTCTGATCTCACTGTGATTCCTGTCAATACCCTTCATCTCAAAAAGAGCAAAGAAAGAGAAAAAAAATAATGGCTCAAAGGAACAACAAAAATCTTTAAAGGACAGGCAAGACTTCATGCAAGGAAAGATTAGAACTGCTTAGTTTAAAGAGAAAAAAATGACAACAAAATTCTGAAGTGGTAATACTTTAGAGAAGGCAGTTATTGAACTCTTATTTATTATCTCTCTTAACACAAAAGATCAAGGACATTTTATTCAGAACTAATTTACTAAAAGATAAAGATAGTAGGGCTGTGCGAAGCTTCGGTCACTGATTCGATTCGGAGGAGACTTGGCAGCCAAGTCTCCAAATCTGAATCAGGAGACCCGTTAATCTCTCTGAGTCGAACTGAAGAGATTTGACCATCTGGCCATGAGCCCAGCTTTATATGTTTTTTCTACATACCTCGAGGTACCAGGTGCAGCTTGTGAACGCTGAGATGGTGGGGCGGAATAGAGCATCCCACGGGGGCGCGGGGTGGTGGTGTTCGCTGCCATGTGCGCAGGGGACCCCCTTGCGCCCCCTTCCCCACCCCCCAGCTCAGCAATTGGCTGTAGGGGAACCCTGGGTGCCCGAGCCGGGGGGTGAGGGGGTCCCCTGCGCACTCTGCGGAGGACCTGGAAGTGGACCGGAAGTACTTTTGATCCATTTCTGGGTCTGCCGCTGAGCATGCAGGGGACCCCCTCCCCCCCACGCTCCAGTGGGGCACTCCATCTGTCCCACCATCTCAGCATTCACAAGCTGTGCCTGGTACTTCGAGGTATGTAGAAAAAAACATATAAAGCGGCGTCCGTGGCTGAATTGCTGATTCTCCAAATCAGAATGGAATCTTCAGATTCAGCCAAATCGAAATCGGGATAGTGATCCGAATCAGCGAATGAATCACTGTCCCCCCGAATCCGACTCCGAATTGAATACTGCCCATTTTGTCCCTAACAGATATTGGCTTTTTCTCGCCAAGAATTTCTGAACTAACTATTCTTAGGTTTTAAATAAGGATTTATTTACTTTCCAGGGCTCAGAATTTTTATATCCCAATTCCTTCTCTTGTTTCCACTGTTGCCTCTGCTGCTTATTTTTTCTTAAAAGTCTATTGCAGTTGTATTTAAACAAACTAAAACATGCCTTTTTTAACAGAACTTTCAGTAAACAAGTACCGATTCTGAGGTTTTAAAGGTTTAAGATTTACTTACTTTGTCTGCAGCTGCCAACAAGTTGTCAGCCATTTTTTCCAGGTTTGGTGCTTTCCCTGTGTAAATGAATCTCATCATTTCTTTAAAAACCTCAGGGTCTACATCATTTATTTCTACACGATTCTGTCACAAAGGAAAAAAGAGGAAAACTATAATCCAGTTTTAGTTTTAGAACAATGAATTTATGACTAATCAGTTAGCTTGCATTTCTATTTTATTTATTTATTTTTACTTAGCAGCAAACATATAGCACCTTAACGTGGTTTAAGCTGACATATTCTAGTGTTAACAGATTAGAGTGAAAACTCCTTTACTGCCAGCAAATTTATAAGTCAGACAATCACCAGTGGAAAGATCGAGGGAACAAATGAGCATCTTGTAAGCTTTTCTTGGTGATTCAGTATGAGAGGAATCTGTAGTGCAAAGGTCATATACAGAATTCAAAACCTGATTTATGGATTTTGAAAAATAAGTCCAGACCAGATTTTAAATCCATTAGTGTTTTGATATGTTACATGCCAAGAGTACTGGACAGAGTAAAAAGTCAGCAAGCAGGAGAATGAGGTTTATTCTGTTCAAATTAATTAGGATTAATATGTTCTCAAAGCAGTTCTTAAAGGAGGCCTGCAAAAAGTGATTTGTACCTCACCTGAATCCCACAACTGAGGGCCCTCCATTGTCAAAGACCTGGCCCTGCAAGTTTGGAGTCAAGGACCAGGATCCTGAAATGGATACAGAAGTAATAGGCCATCAGTGTTACACAGCATCCTGATGAAAGTTTACACATTTTGGTCTGCCTACCTACAGGTGGGCCACTATCCACTGAGTCATTTTTTAGGACTAGGGCTCCCTTAGTAGATGGCCCTCACCTGTGGGATTCACTCAACCAAGGCAGCAGTAATGTACCCTGTAGGACTTCAAGGAAGTCTTAAGTGAATGTGAAAAGCTACCATTCAAAAAAATCTTCCTGGAAGCTGACCAAGAACAAACCCTGAAACCATATTAACAAAATACTACCTGCTCTTGTTGCATTATACAAACTATTAGCAGCAATGTTAGAGGCTAGTTAACACAAACATACACTTCAGCATTTGTATGGACTTTTAAGCTTATGTATACAATGAACAAAACTGCTGACAAACTCCCCTATGTTCTGTGGCAAAGTTAACTCACTGTAGCTTCTTATAAGCACCATGCATCCATGCGTTACTTAGCTGAACACTGTAAATATTGTGTAAAATTTTTAGCAATATTTAGCTTGTCCAGGTGACCTAACACTAATGCCTTTTGCAGTTGCAGTGCTGTTCATCTCCTGCTTCCCCATTAACAACGTATGTGAACTACAGAAACTATTTTTTTGCTCTTTAATCCTGATCTACTGTGCTGTTCTTCAGAGACCTCAGATGGCTCAGCCTCCACCTTACGAGTTCTCTGTGCTTCTCGTCTTCAAGCTGGATTCTCTTTTTTACTGTGTGACCTCAGCTGCCTAACTCCTGATAAAAGGATGGAGAACACGCACTGAAAGTCCAAGCTAACACCTTCTGGGTGAAAGATGAAGGAACAAGCAGAAAAAAAAATGTCAGCTGTCTGGGGGCAGCAAAAATGATAAATTCCACAACACTTTAAAAAAAAAAAAAAAAAATGCCGGGTGTGGGGGGGGAAAAAAAAAAAAAATCCCCAAAACTTTTAAAAAAAAAAAAAAAAAATACTATAAATTGTGACCTAGGAATCATGGAACCCAATGATACCAGGAATTGCTATAATTTGAGAGCCTTTTCATGAAATCAGCCAACAGTCCTCATTACAGGAGAGACTAATGCTGCGTTTACACGAGACACTGACTCTGCAGTAGCTTGTTACTACTGCGCAGTAGTGTTGTGTGGCATGAAGCATGATGCAACGCTACTGTACAGTAGCAACGAGCTACTGCACAGTCAGCATCACCAAAAAGCCGTTCAGTGACGTGACTGTGCAGTAACTCTGGTTACTGGGCAGTCACTTAGTACTTGTGTATGCAAGTACTAAATGACTGTGCAGTAAATAACTATGCAGTCACTATTCATGTAGACATATGAAACTAGAAGTAGTAGTCTGGATCGATTAACCAACTGTTCTGAGCAGTTCTACATATTAACTCTTTGTAGATGTGTGAATGAAGGAAAGGAATCTCCTTCAGTCAAATCTTGGTTTCACTGTAAAATCAATTTGAGTTATAACTCAGAAGTTGTCCCTGATTCACACCTGCAACAGCCCCTCCTTAATTTTGGTACAGTGGTACTTTTAACTTGAGTTGGCTGCTTACCAGTAGTATGGGCTAATGCTGGACTGAGCACAAATGGGCAGCTGTTAAGTGCAACCACTGTAGCATGGACACAAATTCAATGGCTCCTCCAATGTTTTTCCACTATTTTCTGCCTTTTCTAAAAAAAATTGCTGGAAGAGATTTAATAGACCAACTAGCTTACTGCAGTCCAACAAAAAGTCTTAGGACCACACAAGAAAGTGCCGAGTCACTACAGCCACAATAGCTCAGTCACAGTCTCATGTAAGGAAGGCAAATTTTAGAGACGTAACTTAAGTCTAGGTAATGACTTAATTTTGCAGGAAGGCATAACCCTCGCTACCTTGACACAGGATGGCTTCTATGATACCTTAAGATACTTGCCTTGTTGACATGAGTTCTTCATTTCTCTTAAGTACTCACCTGTTATTATCTTTATCAATCTACGAAGTATATTTAGGATTTTCTACACGTTTTCCTTTCGTTTAGTGTTGGAACAGAAAGTTTTCAGTAAGGCTTACCTTTTTGCTTTCCTCCATTTCATGTTCAAACATTGCATTAAAAACTGGCGAGCGTGCTGCAGCAAGGGAATTAAACATTAAATACAATTAAATGCCAAGATTTTCACAATTATGTTTGATAACCAAAAAAAGTTACAATATAAAAGGAGAAAGTACCTGCAAGGACAGATTTGTGGGCTTTGAATTCTTGTCCTCCTACATAAAAACTGCAATCTGTAAATTTTGTTGTTTCCCAGAGATTCCCCAAATCTTCTGCTAGTCGACATTCAGGTACCTTCAAGGTGTTTGTATTGGACTGTCCTGATATATTTACTGAATCTTGGACCACGCTTACCTAACAGAAAATCACAACAAGACAAACTCCTTCAACAAATGAATGCTGATGATCGTTAAATTATTGTACCTATGCTAGAACTTAGCAAAAGCAAAATATTTTTGGGATTTGTCCATAACTCTCACCCATAAAGCAAAAGTTGAATACTGAGAAAGACTAAATTTCAAAGAGTCTAGTTTTGTGAAACAACACCAGATACAGAGAAATAAACCTTTTGAGAATCTTAAAAGAGAAATTAGCTTTTATTTATGATCCAAGCATTTGTGGTCAGGTAACTGCTACAACACAAAAATGAAGAACATGACACCACAAGCAGCATGATAAAAAGATCATGGAGTAAGTAAATCAAAGGCTGATACTCCTGTTGGGAAAACAATGACATCCCTAATTAAAAATGACTGCTGTTTCAAAGATAAATCAACAGAATTTAAGACCGTTCGCTCCTGAAAACCAGAATCCAACGTTATACAGAGACCCTCCTTACAATGAAGATTCGAAACACTTCACTCGTGCACTGAGGGAAGACGAGCTAAGTGTGGATGTTTAGGAGGGTTAGATGGAGGTTAGATCACGTTGAAAATGGCCACCCAATCCAGCTTAGCTTGCCCAGGTGCGTACCTTACACTTGGACCCAGTCTCATCAGTCCAAACCCATACCAGAACAGAAGTTTTGCGCAGGTAAAATAGATGTGGATTGATGAACACTCAAAATTAAATTCATCTAGGGTAGGTCAGTAAATCAAGCTTCTGTAGTTACCTGTGCAGCCCAAGGCTGAGATAGCCCAGCCCTGTAGCTGAGCTTTCTGTATCGGCCCCCCTGACACCAGACTATTTTTTTTAGCAATCTAGCAACCCCTCCTCCCCAGAAGCCCCCATCCTGTAAGCTACTGCCAGGGGCCAAGAAAGTAAGTACTGGTGGGGAGCTATGAAACATAGCTCCTTCAGTATTCAGCTTCCCTTAGCTCCACTGAAGAAATCAAATATAGGTGTTTTCCTCTTAAAAAGCAAGATTGCAATGGTTTTTCTACAAAAATGAGTTTATAGGTATACCCCCAACAGTATCTTGTCTACTCAAACTAATAAAATATATGTTCATAAGTGGTAAAATACAGTATTAACTAAGCCAAGTAAGTTCTAAAGGAGATGTGAATCAGTGTTTTTTGGCATTTCTCCCTGGATGTTGGGGCATTTTGGTATTTGGGAAGGAAAATAAATGTCACGGTTGAGACTTCCTTGCTGTGACGTTTGAGAATTTCTTTGTAGATAGCACTATTTAGACACTGGGATTTTAAATGTTTTTACTTAACAACCAAAAGTTGCAAAAAAAGGTCCTTTGCATGATATTTAAACAAAGCAGCAGCTCAGAAAGGTGTTCCTGCTTTGGAACGGAGGCCTGGAAATTAAAGCTCCCTGAAACAGAGCAGGCATTCCTAGAAGGACTTTGATCACAGTTTTCTCTTCCTAGGCTACAAAAAGGTAGGAGTATAACGAATAAGGGAAGATCAACAAACCCAGTAGTCTACTTGATGTCTAGAGGCACAGAACTGGGGACAAAGGCAGAAGAGTGAGCTCATGCTCTGTGAGTAAGTCTGAGCTGTACAGTACAAACTTCATATCAGAAGATGAACTTGGATTTAGGACAAGAGATGGGGTACTAAAATGGAAGTCAAAAGATTCAGTTTTCACTCCCTATTCTATTTCAGACTTCCTGTGTGAATCTGGGGCAACTCACTATCTTTCTTTGTCTTAGTTCTCCCCTGTAAAACAGAGATAAAAGTATCCTTCTGACTCATGGGGGAAGTTTTGAGGATAACTACTTTTAATATTTGAACAGTATCATCTTAAAGGAATAAGAGCCTTACAAGTACTTACAATAGATCAGTCAGGCTCTGTTGCTTGTCACCTCCAAAGCATTGCAGAAAACAGGGGAGCTTATTTCCAAGTACTAGCAGCAGATGGAGGAGGAACACTGGCAACAGCTGCAAGCCAGAAGTCTAGAAAGCCACTTGCTTTGTTTAAACTGAAAACTTTGGGGGCAAAGGACTTTTCCCCACTTTCCTAGGTTAATTCATAAGCACAAAATCCCTACAGTCCTCTTAACCTGAGCACAATCAGGGCAACCTCAGTTCAAGACTCCAAAAACTGAATGGCTATTACGTATTCTACCACAATCAGAGTTGATTGGGTGCCAAGTACCCATAACACTCCTAAATACAAAAACTCCTAATGGCAAAATGGAAGTGCAGAACCTGTAAAAGGATGTGATCAAAATAATTTAGATGCTATCGCAAATTTAGACCTTATAGTGAACTAAATTATAAATGATGTTTCTGCAACTGCTATTAGGGTTTCAAAATACTGAAGAAAGTGCGGCCCTAATCCTTTAGTTTAAACACTTCAGCAGGTATATAAAATGACTCTCAGGAATAATCCAGCAGAAGTCAATGGACTATATTCTTATTTAAAATTAAACATATGCATAAAATGTTTTTAGCCTGAAGGGTTAAAGTTATATTTTTATTAAAAACCGCTTCTTAGTGGCATAAACTTTGGCACTTGAAAATAAAATTGGTTCACTGTTAACAATGAAAAGGTATTTAAGTTTTCAACACGAACCATTTTTTTAAAATACAATCTTTTTATACAATAAGTCGTGATTAAAAAAAAAAAGCAGGAACTTCCCGTTTGACTTTAAGGTTCAGATTTTAAAATATATTTTGGAGCCAAACCTCTCTTCATTGGGGATACTTGGGGACCACGGGGTGGGATTTATCAGAAGTCTTGGGGTATGCTTACACTGCAAACCACATCATATTGTAGAGAAAGCCAATATAGGCTAGATCAGATACTGAAAGTAGTCCAGCAGTCAGAGCGCTGTGTGGGCTAATTTACCCGCTAAGGGTATAACCAACTACTGATTTACCGCTACCAAGTGTGGGAGGCAACCTTAAAGAAGTACTCGGGTAACTACCTGCCTCAGTTTTCAGCAAATAAATGAATCATGTGAAACTGATGTTGCAGCTAGACTGTTTCCAATACTTGATCAAACTTCAGTGTCTTCAGTGCAGATAATTCCTTAGAGGCAGCACTGACTTTAAAATGTGAATCCTGACGGAGCTACATGACCTGGTACAAATGACTGGCAAGTTCAAATCATAACAGGGGCTCTTTATCAGGTTCTTGGGTAAGAATCTGTGGTGTTCTTACAGTAAGAATTTTAATGAGATGCTAGACTTGTGCCTCAACACAGATTAGCTGAGAAGTGTGATGGTTTTTAGTAGAAAAAGCATTATTACATATCATTTAAAATTCTACTAGCAATTAGGAAACAAACATGACATCCACTTTAGTCACTTAAGAGTATCAACCAGAAATAATCTGAAATGAGTAAGTATATTTAAATAGAAAGTTCATTAAAACCGCTGTGATTTTTAGTCACCCAACTTCTTATTGGAGTGGGCTGATTTGGCAAGATTAAATAAACCTTCCAGGCTCTGTTTTAACAGAAACCATAGGCATTAACTGTAACGACATCCTCCTGACCACAAGAATATTTACATCAGAAGCTGTGCATTTTGTGTTTTGTATTATTTCATATAAAGATTGAATAATTCCCTCTCCAACCAACAGAGCATGAGGTTCTCTCCTCAATGAGTAGAGCAGGATCCTTACTCAGCAAGCCTTTCTAAAGAACGCGGCTTAATGTGTCTCTTAAGTTTTATTAAATGGTGTACTTGTATCATCATAATTTAAAAGGAATTCCTGAATTTCCCAAGTGTGTCTATAAGAAGGATGCAAAAAAACCAAACCTGAATTCTGTAAATCAAGATTCAGTTAGAGCTGAAAATGACTACTTTTTCTGGTACAGTTCTCTGTCAAAGTACCTCAAAATAGTAAGATTTTTTCCCCACAAAGCAGCCTAGCAGCTATAAAAGCATAACAGAAAAAGGAACTGAATTAGGATTTCAGTCTTAACTTCTGGATTGACCCAATCAAAGATGATAAAAATTCTAACAAGTTTACTTGAATACAAGTAAACGTGATTCCTTTGGCGTTGAAAGGCAGAGTATCTTATATAAGCCAATATTTCTAAATCTATTCTCTATTTTAAAAATAGAGAACTTTACAGACGGCTTCAATTATATCACGCATAAGTTTGACAATTAAATAATGTCAGAATTTATTTCATAAGTACAAATATTTCTGAATAGATCAGTCTCCTTTTATAATTTCATGTACATTTCATCTTTAAAATTATGTAGTACAACCAACCTACTTTCTTATCCAAATTCTATTTGGCAAAACTAGTTTAATCTACAGTACCAACTATTCAAAACTTTGTAAGTTTTAAGAAGCCTTCATGGGGATCTTTACAAAATCACTAGACATTTGTTACATCTGCTTTTATCAGGCAAATAATTGTATTCATAACAAATTCATTACGCAGCTAATTTAACTTGTCTAAGTGAAAATAAGATGCACTATATTTGCACCATCTAGTCTCAAGGGCCACATTTCAATTATTTTTCCTACACAGCATAATGACATATAATTAAGTTGTAATCTTGCCAAGACAATTTTACACATTTCCTGTAAATACACAGATCAAAGCAAACTTATTAGCAGTTAAAGCATCTATCATCCTCCTAAGCCATTAATCAGTCCACGGCAGCAGTGATAACCTACCAATGTATATTTAAACACACACTGTACTTAGATCACAACCTTCTCTGGTTTTCATTTTTAAAAAGTCATAAGCCGTCTTCATGGATTTTAGTAAGACAATGTAGGTTACTGGAATAATTTATTACGATTTACATTTCATTTCCTCATATATTCCTCCAAAATTCTAAAGTTTACTCCATGACACAGAGTTAAGTATAAGAGTATTTAACCAGTACTGCATCTGTTCAGATAGCAATGCAGTAGGGTAGTAAGTTATGCAGTTATATGCAATTTCATTTTAAAGCTCATGTCAGAAGGGTATAACTACAGAAATTTGCATTTAAAAGTCTAAATATATAGGGCTGATTCTCAGTGTCACACTAAGCACCGAGAAAGGCTTAAAGAGTCAGTCCCACCAAATTACTCACAATGTATATATATAAATGCCTTTTAATAGCATTTTTAAAAGTAAATTTAATAATGAAACAGCACATCAAGCAAACGATCTAAATGTATAAAATGTTTATTCATCTAAAGAAATTATAATCCTATTAAAGAAATTAATTTTAAATTCTCTCAAATGGTAAGTCCTAAAGTCTTAAAAAGCCTCTAGCAGGGGGGGAAAAAAGCCTGTTAGGGAAAAGAACTTCTGTCAGGTTTTAAATTAAGTTTTAAAAGAGCGCTTTATCTCGGCTGACCTGCAGATGGGCTGCTGAGTATGAACTGTAGTTCAAGGCCGAAGAGCAAAGATTCTGAAATACACGTAGATTCTTACACTCTTGCCTGCTTTGATTTAAAACAACCTGAAACAGGGCCATTTAAAATAATGTTCTAATAGGTATTACTTTAATTACTATTCATATCCCTATTATATCTCCTATTTAAACTAGATCTGGTTTTAGGACAAGGTATAACTGGCATAAGACCGCTAAATGTACTCCTAGCAACCTGTAGCTTACTATTTTTAACCTGCTGTTCTGGACCTTCCTAATATAATTCTCATCTCCGACATTCTCTCTGACATTTCCTTTGTTTCTTCTTCCCTTACCAAAACTTGGGCCAGGCAAATGCTATACCATATTGCCATTAAGCAGCTTAGGGTGTACTATCGTCTACAATAGATGTCTATTTTAAAATCCTGGCCTCACAGGTGAAAGACACGGAAGAATCATATCACTGCTGAGGTATTAAACCAGGTATTCATCAAAGAATTGTTGTTCATTTTAGTCTAGGAATGTGGTTACTGGGTAAGAGGTACATGTCATTAATGCAGTGGTGTTTCTTCCCTGGGATACAGCTTTCATTACAGAAAAAGCTAAGTTCTACACGTGTGCCTAATCTAGAGGAAGATGGAAAAACAATCTTATTGAACAGATGGCTTCAAAGAAAAAGGCAACCTCAATGCAAGTGTGTTTCTGTGTATGGCATGCATTAGCCATTTCTTTGTGCAGAGGTTCTGGAGCTCATTCTGATACGTTCACTGTAGTAAGTTTGTGTCTACACATCAAAGAACGGAGCACTATATGATACACACACATACACATTTTAAACTTTCTAGTTTACCATATTCATAGATTTTTTTGGAAACTGTGTAAGTCACTGAATTTTCTGATTATTCATTATATTTTTAAAACTTTAGAATCTTCTTTACTTAAAAAACTCACACTCACCTCACAAAATAACGTAAGCTTGTCATCTGGTAAAAGACCATTAGCTTCATCGAGTAAAAAATCTCTTCGGATAAATTTTTTAAAACCCCAATCCTTGCCTTGCACAAATCGATATGCTCTTTGGCTTTCTGGTTAAAGACAGAAGACAAATAGGATTGTTATATCTAAATAAAATATTTTCTTAAATAAAAGACTTTAACGAGTGGTAAAACAAGGCAGAAAAATCAATTCTGAGAACATCTGAGTGCTAATGTAACTGTAAATCAATTTAATATAGTTAGACCATGCATTTTATCATGCATCAGGAAAATCCATCACTGAGCATAATTCTGTATTTATTTCAATAATATTTTGCTTTACAAGATTATCTGGTCATTTCATGGAAGATTATTCTAGAATCTTATTTGTACTATTGTGTTGTATTGTATTCCATTGTGTTCCATTGATTGATTATATATTTCTTCTCCTGAACTCCTCCTACTTAATTGGTTTAGACATTACAAAACTGGTTGAGTTTATTCAACAGATCTCTGTCTAAAACTGCCAAACCAAAAGCTCTCTCAGAAAAAGCTCCGGTCAAGTAGGGAGGACTGGATGGACTACACCGAAGGAACTGGCTGGAGACTGTGGGATCGTTGGCGAAGGTCTTTGGCGACTCATGGTGCTTGGGAGAGGTCCCAGATGACTGGAAAAGGGCCAATGTGGTGCCAATCTTTAAGAAGGGAAGGAGGCAGATCTGGGAAACTATGGGCTGGTCAGTTTGACCTTGATATGGGTAACATTTTAGAAAATATTATCAACAAGTCCATTTGAGAGAGACAGCAGGAGCCATGATGCTGAAGGATAGCCAACATGGTTTCGTTGCGGCCAGGTCATGCCTGACCAACCTCGTCTCTTTCCATGATCAACTAACGAATCGCTTAGATGTGGGAGATGCGGTTGATGTCATATACTTGGATTTCAAAACGGCCTTCGATATGGTCTCCCATGACGCTCTTATGAAGAAAAAACCTGGTGGATTGTGGGCTGGCTGAGTCCATGTTCATGTGAGTTGGGAACTGGCTAAGGGGTCGAATGCAGAGAGTTAGTGGATGGGTCTGTATCATCTTGGCAGGAGGTGGCCAGAGGTGTCCTGCACGGTTCAGCCCCATGCTGTTCAACGTCTTAACCAACCATTTAGATGAGGATGTCAAAAGCGCGCTGGCTAAGTTTGCAGAGGATACTAAGTTATGGGGAAAAGTGGTCACGCTAGGGGACAGGATGCAGATCCAAGCAGACCTGGACAAGCTGGGAAGGAGGGCAGAGTAGAACCAGATGCAGTTCAATAAGGAAAAATGCAGCGTGCTTCATCTGGGGAGAAGTAACTGGCAACATGAATATAGGTTAGGAGGAGATGTCCTGGCCAGCACGATGAAAGGGACCTTGGGGTTATGGTTGATCACAGGATGAACATGAGTCACCAGTGAGACGCTGTAGTCAACAGAGCTAATAGCACACTGGGATGCATTAGCCAATGCATTACACGAGGGCTAATGAAGTGATGTTTCCTCCCTACTGGTGATGTCTCGTCCTCTGGCGGGTGAGACCCCAGCTGGAGTCCCGTGGCCAGTTCTGGGGGCTGCACTTCACCAAGGATGTGGGGAATCTTGAAGGGTCGAGAGAAGGGCCACAAGAATGATTAAGCACCTGGAGGACAAACCCTAAGAGGAGAGAGTAAGGGATCTGGGACTGCTCAGTCTGGGGAAGAGAAGACTGAGGGGGGACTTGGTGGCCGTCTAACGGGGTGGGCAATTATTTCAGGCAGAGGACCGCTTACTGAGTTTTGGCAAGCTGCTGAGGGCCACACTGGTAGCCCCGCCCCTTGACAGGTGCCCCACCCCCTGGTAGCCATCTTGTGACCAGATGTCCTGCCCCCTAACTCCTGTTCTTTGCCACCACAAGTCCCTCCCCTTGCCCCTGAAAGTACTTCTTTCAGCAAGGGGTTTTGCCATCTTGGAACCAGAAAAATATCAAATTATATTTTAAAGAGTGAACATCTAAAATATTAATTATGTATTTTTTTTCTTGATTTACATCTGTTTATGTAGTGTACATAGAGGTGATCGCACAATAGCTTAAAATGAAGTCTTACTCTTGCATATTGTGGGGGGTGGGTGTAGGTTTGTGGGGGGCTGTGGGTGGGTATGGGGGCTGTGTGTGTAGGGGGGAGGCTGGGGTCTATGGCAGTGCAGGGGGGGTGGATGCATGTGTATGGTGGGGTGTGCATGTGGGACTCACCCTATAGACACACGCTCAATCTGGCCCCAAGCCTGCACGCACACACGCTACATGTAGAGGTGTTTGTGGATGGGTATGGGGGTGTGTAGGGTTGTGTGGGGGGGAAGGGCGGCTGGGGCTTGTGTACAGGCAGTGTGAGGGGGTGTGTGGGTCCATGTGTATGGTGCAGCGTGTGTGTGACTCACCCTATGAACACACACTGCCCACGAGTCTGCGCGCACAAACACACGCACACACCTTGCGCCCCCAAGCCTGCACACACACACGCACAGTGTGCCCCCGAGCCTGTGAGCGCATGTGCACGCGCGCACATGCAAACACACACACACACACACACACACAGTGCGCATGTGCACACACACACGGTACCCGAGCCTGCGCACGTGTGCGCACACACACAGTGCCCCCGAGCCTGCACGCGCACACACACACAGTGCCCCCGAGCCTGCACGCGCACACACACAGTGCCCCCGAGCCTGCACGCACGCCAGCACACACACTGTGCCCCCGAGCCTGCACGCACGCCAGCACACATACTGTGCCCCCCCGAGCCTGCACACACACACATGCACGCACGCAGTGTGCCCCCGAGCCTGCACACACACACACGCACGCACACACGCACGCAGTGTGCCCCCGAGCCTTCACACACACAGAGTGTGCCCCCGAGCCTGCACACACACACACACACACACTGTGCCCCTGAGCCTGGACACACACACACACACAGCGTGCCCCCGGGCCTGCGCGCGCACACACACACACACACACACACCCCCACACACACAGTGTGCCCCCGAGCCTGCACGCGCGCCTGCACACATACAGTGCCCCCTGAGCCTGCACACACACACACACACACACGCACAC